GTTTGTAGGTGTTCAGAATGGTTTGATCCCTATCCAGCTGAATTCCTGAGAGGAGACGAAATCCAGGTCTCCTACTCCTCTGCCATCTTGCTCCACCCCCAATAATCTTTTATTTCTAATGGAGAGGGTCAAAATGTGGGAAAGCTAAGAAGACTACTTGGATTCATGGTCAAATATTTGGATTAAATTAAATTGCTCCCCACCCTCAACCCCCACCACCTTCCATGCTAAGCTAAACCTTTTAATTTGAGATTGAAAGCATTAACCATTACTGGTAACATTTTTCATCCTTTAGTAGAATGAATATTACCAAAAGACTAAGGCTCAAATGTATTAATACTGGATTAAGTTGTATATCCTTATGAGGTTTGTATCATGGAAGGACTATTTTATGCTGTAGATTCAATACATAAGGCATTTACAAACCACTAAAGCAATAAAAACAAACTTTTCTCACATAAATAATGTCTGAAAAATGATCTTTATATCTATGTGTGTGCTATGGTAGTTCTTCCAAAGCTGTCACTATCATAGAAATGAGTAGGACAAGTACATTCACTAGCTCTTTTGTAAAACGTGAAAGGCAGCTCTCAGAACTTCATGAAACTTGCAGGATAGTCTAACGTCCATAGGTACTTACGTTTTCTAAATGGTGGTTTCAGTTGGCCACTTCTTTAAAAGAGTTGATCTACAAAGAAGCACTGGGTTTCTAGATATATCTAAATATCACTTACTCTATTTTTGTCAACTTTTAATCTACAGGTTTTTAAGACTAATGCTATCCAGTTCATTCACTTGTTTTTATATCTTCGAAGTTTGTAAGAAGTGGTTGCGTTATTATACAGTATACTAAAATTGTGCAGGGGAGAAAGTTGACTGAGGCTTTATCTTAATTAAAGAAACAAATTACGTAAAGACCTTTTTTTCTTCTATTTAGTAAAATTTAATCTGTAATAATCTTACCTATTTCCCAATTCTTAAAATGAATAAAGAGTAATTTATTTGTTGTTGTTCTAACATAGTATTTTTAGTAAGTTTTTTCATAACTTGATAATGACTTTTTGGTAGAATCATCTACTTATGATCTACTTGTATAGTACAATTACAGAGAAAGTTTTACAAATATAACCGAAGACTTCATTGTTTGCTAATGAATGATCCCTAATAATCATATCATCCTCAGTGATGTCTATTTAATTGTTGATTTGTTGATTTTTTACAATTGTTTCATTTGTCAGATCTTCATTTGCATACTTACTGCAAACAGTTCTTCAGTATTACTTTAATTCATATGAAGTCTTGCAGTTTTTTCTGAGCATGCAATGTGGGAGTATTTTTTGTTCTCTAAATCTTTGTGATTCCTGAGTTTGGATGGTGAGTAATGCCATGTGGTCTGATCCATTGGATCCCAGGTTTTGGATGGAGAGCATCAAGAGTTTGGATAGTGGGGAATTTTTTTCTGAAAATTTACGTTAACTTCTTCAGTATCTGAGCTCTAACTGCTAGAATTGTGATAGCAAAGGATATCTCTTTTTACATTCTATAACCTGGATATTTATAAGACTGGATGTTGACTTCATGGGCAGGGTTAGTTTGATGGTAGTTAAGAGAGAGGTTTGGCTGATTTTTAAATGATGTCTTTAAAATTAGCATTATCTTTCCATACAATGAAACTTTTGCCTTTCCACAAAACATTGTAACTGCAGATGTTCAGGTAATTAATACTAGGATTTAAGGGAACCCTAAATACGAGCATTTCATAGGTAGAAAGGAGCGACTTCTAGATGGCTTCCATCAGAACAGTTTGCAATAAATGAGTGCTCTGCTCATTTTTGTTATAGAGAACTTTAGACCTTTGGCCTAAGATTTGAATGATGCACTTTATCTTTCCACTCTGTGGTCCTCTTGATACATTCTACCTACACACTCACTGCCTGAGAGTCCTTCAACCACAAAAATGTTTCAGTTTCCTGCAACCCATGGATATTCTATTGAGTGAAATCTTGGTGTGTTTATTAATTATTTTAGTAACTGTTACTATTTGGGGAAAATAGAAACTGATCCAAAGCCTTTCTTTTTTTCATAAATTAGAAGCAAAGATTTAATGATTAGATGGTTTTGATGGTTTTCAATTATTCAGTTGGCCAAATATATATAGGTAACAATATCAGAAATCAAGAAAAATACTGTTTCATTTAAAATGTAAATGACCTAACGTAAGACTTGTTTCTTTCTGTGTTTTGAAGTTGATTCTTATCTGACTGGACAATGCTCATTCTGTCTTTCTAAATGTTAGTTTTTCTTACTTTTAAAGGAGCTGCTGGTTCATTAAAATTCACCATCATCCTTTTTGTTTTATTCTCCAGGCCCTGAACCAGTTGTTTGAGAAGATCATGGCTTTAGACATTGATGAGCGCCACCTCCTGCGTCTTGGTCATGGGGAAGAAGAGCTGGAGACAGAGAAAGATTTCAGCAGGTGAGCAAATGGGGATGAGTTTTGAAATGATATACAAAACAATTTTTAACCTTCTCCACTTTTTCTTTATTAAAGAAACACCGAGAGACAAGAGTCATGAATAATACAATTTGATTTTGAAAGATTCTAGCATAACCTACTTGTAGTTGACCTAAAAGTCTGGTCATGATCTCCCTCAGCTCCAGTTTTGTGTGTTGATGCCTTGTTTTCCTAAAGAATACAGTTACTTCAGTAAAGAGAGTTATCTTGTTCATCTTTTTAAAATTGCAGATTCCCATTTGTTCTCTATTTATTGAGGTGATTTTTAATGTTGCCAACTCAAACTGTACAAGTTTACCTGATTCCACATTTCATCCAGACATTTAATTTGCGTGTATTTTAGATATCAATTAAAAAATTGGCTCATTTAATAAAACACAAATGAAGATTAATGACAGTATAAGCTTTGGGGTTGTAAATCTTATTACAGCTACTTAATTGCCATTTAGCTGGACTTTATGTTTAACAGTACATGAAATAAAATGACTAAAATTTTACAAATCAGATTTCTTCTGCTGTTAGTATTTTAGGTTTTCTATTCACACTTTCTTTATAATAGTTCATTTATTTATATTTAAACCCATTTTTAAAGCATGATTTCAGACAATAATCATAACAAACAGCTGCATATATTTAATACAGCCTTTGGCTATTAAACATGACCTTTGGCTAAATTGATCATAGACATCAAAAGAGCTAAAGGAGTGTTAAATTATTATGTTGCATCTATTTTGAGTTCCTGTATCGCAGGAGCTCACCAAACATTTGTTAGCTTTAAAAAATCATAGGGCAAAGAACGACACACATTAAGTTATTTGAGGCTCTAGATTCTTAATTTTGGATTAGCCAGAGATACTTCTCTGAATTCTTGCCGTGAATATTTCTTCAAATTCAACTTACCAGAGTGGGCTAGACTCTAAAATTTAATAAGCCAGCATTCAGTGAACATAAAGGTGCTGGTGAAATGCTAAATACTGTAATTATAATTACACTGCAGTAGAATTTATAGTTTTTTTTAAATATTGTAATAGAAGTAGAACTTTAAAAAAATATCAGATAATAACAACTTTCTGAAGACAAAAATACTTTTTGCTTTCTGATACATAAGCCAAGTCCCAGGTCTTATTGGTAGGTATGTGCTTGTTCAGTTGGACATATTCTTTCATTTCTCCCCTTTTATAGTAATGAAAAAGAAAAACAGTATCATTTCATAATAAAAGTACTATCATTTTCCCTAAAGAAAATTTTTCAAACTTTGTGAGGTAGTAGAAAGGGAATGGTTATCCATAATTCCACTACTCCAAAACAACTTTTTGTTAGTTTTCTTCTTAATAATCATCTGTAAACATGCTATTATTTATAACTGTTGTATACATTGCTTCTTTAAGTTAAGACTTTATTTTTTTAGTATAATTTGAGATTTACGGAATAATCGCATAAATAGTACATAGAGTTCCATTGTATTTTGCTTTTTAAATTTAACCCTATATCACAAGAATTTTGGTATTTTATTACACACTTTTTATAAGCATCTTCAATTTTTTTCTCATTACCAAAGTGTTAATTATAGAAAAAGCATTAAACTCTAGATAAGCAAACAGAAAAAGGTTACCTGGTGTAACATTTATATCCTTCTAAGTTGGAAAATTCTTTAAACATAGACTCTGTCTTATATCCCTTTATTCTCAATCATTCTTGCTGGCTCAAAGGTGAATTTCTGATCTGTGGCATTCAAGAACATGATTTCCCTCTTTGTCCAATCTTTAAACATGACAGCAGCAATGTTTATGCTATTTTAATTTTTGTTTAATGTTAAAAGGTTGTTATAGAAGGCACTTTGTTGGGGCGCCTGAGTGGCTCAATTGGTTGAGCATCTGCCTTCAGCTTGGGTCATGATCCCAGGGTTCTGGGATCGAATCCCACATCGGGCTCCTTGCTCGGCTAGGAGCCTGCTTCTCTCTCTGCCTCTGTCTCTCTCTGTCTCTCATGAGTAAATAAAATTTAAAAAAAAAAAAAGAAAGAAGGCACTTTGTTATTGTGGAAAGAGTTCTGATTCACTGCTGTTTTCTTAATTACATGCCTCTGAGCCAGGTACTCTTCAAATTTCAGTTTTCCTACTCATTCAGCAAATATTTATGAACCTACTAGGTTAAGGTGCCAGGCTACATGCTGGGACAACAAAGAATGGTCAAATACATTTTTAAATTAATTTTCGAAGCCTTTAGAACTAATCTACTTCTATGATAGTATAAAACAGGGTTATTCAAAGCAGCCAATCCATAAACTATGTATTCTTGATCTGTGTTGAGATGAACTAGCACCAGAATGCACTGTACTGTTTCCCTTTTTGTGAAGGTCTTGTTATTAAAAAAAAAGAAAAAGAAAAGAATTAAATGGTACATTTAGAGACACAATTGATTTTCCTTCCTCACAGACCACTAACTAACATGTTTGCAGATCAACACTGATCCAAGAACTACCACTTATATTAAATATAAACAGTGTTTTCTACTGTTTTTTTTTTTTTTTTCCATTTGGCCATTTATACTTTTTATTATGGTTTTTTTAAAGGTTTATTTATTTGAGAGAGAGAGAGAGAGAGACAGAGAGCGGCGGGCAGGGGTGGGGGGGTGTTGGCCGGAGGCAGAGGGAGAGAGAATCTCAAGCAGACTGTGCTGAGCATGGAGCCCAATGAGGGGCTCAATCCACAACCCTGAGATTATGACCTAAGCCAAAACCAAGAGTCGGATGCTTAACTGACTGAGCCACCCAAGGTGCCCCTATTACGATTTTCTTAAATGTTTTGCTGACAGTTTGCTTAAAAATCTCTTCATTACATAATTTTGCTTTTTTGCTTATTTGAAATTTCTAGATATGGAAGAGTTAATTATGTCCTGGCTCGAAGAATAGAACTTTTAGAAGAAGTCAAACGATTACAAAAGAGTCTAGGAGTTCCAGGAGATGCTTCATATACTTGTGAAACTGCAGGCTATTTCTTCTTATATCAGGTAAGAGATTAAGAGTTTTCAAATCATATGGTCTTCAGTTGGAAACTGGGATGGGTTCTTGAAATTCTTTGTGAAAGCCTATTTTTTTGTTGAGTAGATTAAAATGTATGCTGTTGCCAAAGCTATATTTGTGAATATTAAATGTTTGTATTTCCTATTATCTTTTATTTTCTTGGCTAAATAGCTTCGCTTGATGACTCATTCACTGAAAGGCCAATGTTGCTACTTTTTAAATTTTTTTCCCTTTTCTTTCTTGCTACTGACAAATTTTCTAATCTCTCTTTTTGTTTTTATTACTGTAGAAATATAACTAAATATGCTAGCTACCCAGTGGTAACAAAGTATAGTTCTGTAACCTGCTTCTATTCATATTAATCAGTTAATGAAGAAAAACATATTCTCCTTTCAAATTTCCAAAAATAAATTACGTTTTAGAACTAATTTCAAAGTAGGAGTTTAAGTTAAAAATTCTTTTGACTTCAGTTTAGAGGTGTGCTTTTGCTTTGGTTAGGGTTAATTTTTTAGGTGTGAAAACCATTAAGAAATAGAAAACTAAATAAAATGAACAAAAATAAACCTTAATAGTTTACTAATAATTTTAAGCAGATTAAGGCATAATCATATAATGGAGAATTTTATATAACTTTGTTCTCTTTGTACTCATGCTATTTGTATAGTTTTAAGTCCAAATTGTAACATTGAAATTTTAAAATGTATATGAAAGAATAGGTGTATGCTCATAAGTAAATACCCAGACCAGTTCAATCCATTCAGAATGATCAGATTCCGTGGTTTCTTGTGACACAGAGAAGATATACATCATCTTGCAAAGTAGCCTGCATTGGACTCAGACAGTTTAGAACTTTGAATAATGGAGTAAAGATCATGCCTAAATGTATATTTGGCACAAAATAAAAATCACTAGGCTCTCCGTGAAAACTACTTTAAAAGTAGGAGAAATAATCTATAAATTTGTGGAGGCTTAAGTAATCGATTTGGGAAAAACAAACTTGAAGCTTCACAGTACAGATCAACAATTTTCAACATGTTAAGAATCACATTGGGAAAGTTATTTTAAAAGGAAATTGTCAAGTTCTGTCCCCAGAGATTTCTCTTTCAGTAGGAGGTGGTATCCAGGAATCTAAATCTTTATTTAGCCTCTCAGATGTTCTGCCTAAGAACCACACTTGGAGAAACCCTGACTGGGAGAATTACCAAAATTGAGATTAAGCAGGAACCGCATGGTAGAGGCATAGTAAAACATACCAGGATAACTATATCACAAAAGTCATAAAATGAGCTTTCAAATATATACTCAGTTTAACAGAAGTGCTTTGTAAATATACTAAAGAGAATTGGAAAAATTATAAAGGTCTGGGAGAAGGGTTGACATTTACTAAAATGCTGCTAAAACCATATATGGAGAAAAACTGAGATAATGAAAAAATACAGAATTTCTTTGTCCAGAGAATTGGTTTTTTTGTTTGTCTTTTAAGCATCAGTAATACCATTTTGAGTATACATGGAAAATCTGTTATGTCTGAGATAAAGTCCCATAGATGACACTGAGGTTCTTTCCAGTTTATATATATTTGTAAATTATTTATATTTTCATTTATCTTTATATATACACATACATTTTTTCTTTTGAGAGGGAGAGCGTGGTGGGCAGTGTGGGGAAGAGAGGCAGAGGGAGAGAGAAAATCTTACGCAGGGTTCACACCCAGTGCAGAGCCCAACTGGATCTCATGACCCTGAGGTCAAGACCTAAGCTGAAACCAAGAGTCGGACATGTAACCGACTAAGCCACCCAGGCACCCCTAGTTTTTCTATTTTTGATTAAAGAACCTTTTTTCTATAATCTTAAAGGTCACTTTTTAAAAAGGGCCCTCTGTCAATGACTCAGATAAGAAATGGTCCTGTTAGGTCAGGGATTGCTTTTCTTTCCCTTTACTTAGTAGATCTTATTACTAGATTTCTTTTTTATTTTATCATTTAAAACATAATAATTAGCTAGGAATTTTAATTTCAAGTCCCTTTTTTTCATAGGTCATGTCTCGTTGGGAAGAATATATTAGCAAAGTGAAAAATAAAGGTAATACGCTGCCAGATGTTACGGAAGTCTCCACTTTCTTCCCTTTCCATGAATACTTTGCAAATGCCCCTCAGCCCATTTTTAAAGGCCGATCTTATGAAGAAGACATGGAAATTGCTGAAGGGTGTTTCAGGCATATTAAGAAAATCTTCACTCAGCTTGAGGTAAGGATTCTCAGGTTTTTTAACTTGCCTTTAAAGGCTTTAAGTTTAGATGGTTTTTTTGTTTTTAATGAAGTAAATGTGGAATATTCACATCTTACAAACCAGATTGTTACTTTTAAGTGAGATTATTGGAAACATTTATAGCTTTAGTTCAAGAAATGAGTAAAAATTAAGATTTAAATTTAATCCCCATTATTCTGACTTTTCTGGTGTAAAAGTTAGCATTTAAGAAAGGAATGCTTCCCTCAAGAGATTCAACAGTGTTTCTTTGAATTGGAATCTGAGACTGCCACTTCCAAATGATGGAAAACATTTGAAGACTATAGCAGCCCCAGTCAGGCTCAGGGATCACATTCAGGCTCAGATTCCACAGTAAGATGATTTAGGATTACTCAGGTAACAGGGGCAATGACTTTGTCTGTTTTGTCTTTGTACCTTTTAGATAAGATGATATCTCTACTTCCTAGAGGAGTATCTGGCACATAGTATATGTTCAGTAAATATCAATGCGTGGTGTTGGTAGGGGGTAGGTGGATAGATGGTAGGTACAGAATAATAAATATATAGTATAATAATAAGTAAAATTTTAGAACCAACAAAACAATATTAGAGTATGTTTATGATTATATAAACAAAGTAAAAGGATAAAAACATTTAATTCATAATAGTAGCTGTCTTAGGAGGGGTGGGGAGAGATTTGAACAGAGTCCCTCTCCTGTACCTGTCATGTTTTAACTATTTAAAAAACAAAAATGTTAAAAATATCTGAAGTATGACATAATGTTCAGAATTTATAGGACTTGATATTAGGTTTGGGCTTGTTTGCTCCTCATTTAATATCTATTGTCCATCATTTTACCCTGCTCTATGGGGATCTTCTGCCACGGTCAGAGGTGGGCCTGATCCTTGGAGGTTTAATTTCCTGGCTTCCCATATTAGCTGACTTCTGGCTGGGTTTAGCCAATAAAAATGTGGCAGAAATAGAGAAGCTAGGATATTGCTCCACCAATTGTCTTAGGTTTCATCTCTTCCATGGCTCCAGTTTCTGTTGGCCTGGCTTCCTATGATTGTTGTTGTAGCTTATTCTGGTACCGCAGTCCCACTGCCTCCTTCCCTTATTTGTCCTAGCCTAGGAATGGTCAAACTTCCTGCTATTGCTCATCTCTCAGTTACCTCAGCCATTCGTTCCCTGGCTGGCTTATGTGCTCCTTTGTCACCGGTGAAATCAGACCCCCTGCATTAAATTTCCTTTGTTATGAATACTTGAAAAAGTTTCTGTTTTTGTGGAAGGACCTTGAGTAGATACTGTGGTGATATTTTATTCAGTATTCTTGTTGATAACTGTCAATATTTTACCTTATACAAAAACAGTCCAAATTATAGCTTGAGTGTCAGTTATTATATGAACTCAATTAGTACCTAATTAATAATGAACAGAATTGTGATTCATTAGGCTTAGTTTATGATATATTAATTAATCAGGAATTAAGTCTAATAAACTGGATTATGTGAAAGTATGCATGAAACGTGTTTATTTTCCTAAAATACTCTCTCTGACCCCCACTCCCATAGGAATTCAGAGCTTCTGAACTGCTTCGAAGTGGACTGGACAGATCTAAATACCTTCTGGTGAAAGAAGCCAAAATCATTGCTATGACTTGTACTCATGCTGCCTTAAAACGACATGATTTAGTCAAGCTAGGTTTCAAGGTAGGGACTTACAGTTTCGTTCCTCAATTGATCATCTATTCAGCTGTTAGGTTTCTCTTTTCTCCCCTTTCCTTTCCTTTTCTTTTTCTTTTTTATTTTAATTTTTATTTTTTTATTTAAATTTTCCTTTTCTTTTCTTTTCCTTTCCTTTCCTTTACCGAGGCCGTTTCCCTTGAAGATTGGCTTACCTCTTACTGACATTCACATTTATAATTCCTTAAAAATGTCTTTTCTGAAAGTGATGAAAATCTCTGATGTTTATATGATTAATGAACTCTAGACCTGATTCTTCTAAGTCTGCTTATCAGTAATATGTCCATTAAGTAACATAACCATATGATTATCTAAACAAATTGTAATATTTGTTAAGGTAAATTGATTTTTCACTATGTTAAAAAAATCTCCAAACATAACTAAAAACTATAAAAATAACATTTGACAATGTTTTTTGCCTATTAGACATTTGTATCTTACATTGTTCATGTTTTAAATACACATCCACTCCCACTTATTTGTTCATTCAGTAGATGGAAAACCTTCCATGTGAGGATATGGAATACTCTTATTTATAAGACTGTAGATGAGATATTAAAATGATTTCATCATATGATAAAGACTGGAGAGCTAATGGGCACCATAGCCTGATAACCTATGACTTGTTTAAAGTGGAATGTAGTAAATAAGCAGTAAATTTGAATTTGCAGACTCTTTATAACTTTGCTAGTGATACTGGCCTAAACTCTGACTTTTATGCAAGTCATTTAACTTCTCTGCGGTTGGTTTATCTGTTGTTTAAAATAGGGTTTGTGTACTGCTTTGAATTCAAAGTTAGAAAAGCATTTGTTGTTAATGAAAGTGACTGACAATTTTTAAATGTTGTGAGCTCACTGGAGGATAAGTGCTAAATAAATTCAAGGTGATAGAGTAGTTGCTATTTGGATGGAAGGTTCCTCAGCTGCAAGGTTAGCACAAGCACGATAATTTATTAAAAGGTCTGTGAACTTATGTTAGTGGTGTGAACTTACCCTTTTGCAAATTAGTACTGAGAATTTTTCACCTAAATATTTTGTTCTTGGGGCTGACATAGAAAATATGCTTGGTATTTGATATTAAATCATATCGGTTTAATAACAAGGGAAATGATGCAATCATAATTAACATTTTATGGTGTTGTGCAGCTTTTCACATGCATATTCTAAAAAACATTACTTGTAGCTTATCAAACTTTCATTAATCATTTACTTACAATGTGCTATACATATATAGTTAGCATGAGTGCTGATAGTATTCCTTAGATCTTTTATATTTTTAAGTTTGAAGTTTTATTTTTATCAAACTTCCCCTGCATCTGGTTTATGCATTTAAAAACCTTGTAGAGCTACTTAACATGAAGAAAGGGCAGTCCCCTACTTCCCTGATTAGCCATTCCTTCAACTCTTAGTATTTTCTGTGTTCTTTTTATCTGTATCAATAAAGAATGTTAAATTTGCATTTTAGGGGTACCTGGGTGGCTTAGTCGGTTAAGCATCTGCCTTGGTCTCAGGGCATGATCCCAGAGTCCTGGGATCGAGCCTCTCGTCGGGCTCCCTGCTCAGCGGGGAGCCTGCTTCTCCCTTTGCCTGCCGCTCCCCCTGCTTGTGCTCTCTCTCTCTCTGTGTGTCAAATAAATAAATTTGCATTTTCGACATTGTGTTTTGACCCTGTGCCATCCCCAGGGAGACATGCATGCACAGTCATGTGCTCTTTTCCTGCCTTAATATGCCCAGTATGGTTATGTCATAATTTTGCTTTGTGATTAAAGTCGCCTTTTAAAAAGCAGAATCTATAGATACATTTTTTGTAAGTTAAATTGCATTAGATTTTCAGAGTTATTTTTCAGAAAGCAGGCTCTTTAAACCATCTTGGGCTGCTCCCACTCTGTTTTGCATATCATGTCTATTATCCTCAGAGTCCACACAGGGACTTGTGAGAAAATATGGATCTTAGAACTCTTCCTCCTAAGCTCCCATGAGGATGACCTAATTAATCCTTGTAATAGGGAAATTCAGCATCAGATAGAGCTAGAGAAGACACCTATCCACATACCTTTAAGTATTTTCAATAAGGAACAGTACAGAATTGAACCTTAACTTTCATCATTGGATGTCCAATGGAAATTCATGTCAGCTACTTGTCTTGGACAAATAAATACAACCATAGTTTTGTAAAAGTGAGTAGCACAGAAATTACAGTATATGTGAACAACTCATTTAAAAACAGAGTTAATAGGGCACCCTGGCAGGAGCTGAAATTGGAAGAAAATATACCGTAATAAAATAAATAAAAAATAAAAGAAAGTTAATTAAGCATAAAGAGTAAATATGCTACTACCTTCCACCTTCCAAGGAAACAAAATAAGAGGAGAAAACATGGGGCACCTGGGTGGCTCAGTTGGTTAAGAGGAGAAAACATTAAAAACACAAAACAAAGGAATTCTAATTTGTACTTAGTGAGATTCTCAAAGAAGGTATTTTACCAATAAGACAAGGAAGAGGATGTCACACTAAGTAACAAGCAGAATTAGAAGTAGAGGGGAAGGAAAACATGTTGAGAATAGATCTAGAAGAGAATTGAGCAGATGGGAGAGCAGTAATCATCAAAGAAAATGAAATTTCCTTATGTTGGAGAAAGACTTGTTTTTTCATTATTTTATAAGTGTGCAGTGCCTGATGTTACTGGAAACTGGGCTAATGGAAGGATGCAGGCATCAAACAAGTAAATATACAGATAGAATTACATATTGTGATGTGCTATGAGACAAAGGAAGAGAGTTCTGTGGAATCAGGTTTAACTTGGGAGGTCAGAGAAGACATGGATAAAGTGGGTTTTAAGCTGGTACTTTAAAGATGAGGAAGAGCCAAGCAGACAAAAAATGAAGAGCATATAGTACTGCAGAGGGCCTAAGGCCAGAATGGTTTTGCCATTTCTAAGAAAATGAAATAGGTCAACATGGCTGAAGCTTAATTAGTAAGGAGGAAGGTGGCATTTAAAGTAGGAGAGGAAGACGGGGGCCAAATTGAATAAAGGCCTGTATTAATACACCTTTTACAGGCCTTTTCAGGGCTCTTTTTCCTAAGATAAGTGGAAGCCAGGGAAGGGTTTGAAACCAGTTGGTGACATGATCTGATGCCTGTTTTATCAGTGGTTTAGGGGAGGCAAGCCAGGAAGGGGATGGGCTAGTAAAAGAGATTTCTGGCAGTAGTCAGAGTGGTGGCTTAGATTTTAGTGGTGGTGGTAGTAGAAATGAAGAGTTTTGAAGATAAAACTACATGCTTTGATGACAAATTGAATGCCAGGGGTAAAATAGAGTTAGATTGTCAAGTGCTGGGTAGGATTCATAAGGGGAAAAAAAATAGCCCAAAAAACTACCCAGGGTAAGAATACCAATGGAAATGACCTCATATATAATCATAAATTGATTCTTTCTTATGTAGAACTTAAGGAACTGAGTTGAAAATAACTAAATTGATATACAATGTAAGAAATGATATGCAGGATCTCTTCAAGGTAGAATTGTATATTCAGGGGCCTTCCCTGAGGTTACAGACTTGAACTAGAAAAGCAGGGGCATCATGATAAAAAAGATTATGAACTTTCTGTTTGAATAATTTGTATGATGTTATTTTTATCTGAAATTATTTGGGATTTTTTTGGATAGTTGTTATAGTTATGGTGGTAGTTGTTTGGCTTTCAAGCTGTCTTTTTTTTTTTTTTTTTTTAAGATTTTATTTATTTATTTGACACAGAGAGAGACACAGAAAGGGAACACAAGCAGGGGCAGAGGGAGAGGGAGAAGCAGGCTTTCCACAGAGCAGGGAGCCCGATGCGGGGCTCTATCCCAGGACCCTGCGATCATGACCTGAGCCGAAGGCAGACGCTTAATGACTGAGCCACCCACGCGCCCCTCAAGCTGTCTTTTTAACAAGCTTTCCTTTTTCTCCATTTCTCAGTATGACAACATTTTAATGGAAGAGGCTGCACAGATCCTGGAAATAGAAACTTTTATACCTCTTCTTCTACAGGTAAGAAACAGAGATCTGAGACAAAGAAAGAGTTTGAAGAATTCTGGGGAACAGTGTCAAAAAGCTACACAGTTTTGGGGTGCTAATTGTCATAATTACATATTCTTTTTAACTTCATTATGTTTGCTATTCTATTTTAAGCCTATAAACTTCCTTTAATCTAGTCACTGGTTATTTAGTAGTTTGTTTTGTTTCCAGGAGTACTATTTAAAAATTCATAGTTTATCTTTAAGTTTTGAAAAGACAGTAATTTTAATCAAGAAAATTACATTGTTAAGCAGTCTGGAGGGTAGATGAGCTATTTTTTTCATTTCCTTTGTTAGAGTTGTTTCTGGAATTGTTTTTGATGTTCACTGAGTACATTGCTTTTCTTTATTTTGTGCCTAAATTTTTCTGAGCTTAATGACGATGTTTAAGAATGTTTCTTATTGTACAATAGTCTTTACTATGGAAGAATTAAAAACAAAATGTGGAATTCCCAATTTAAGAATAGTGACTGCTTTAATTTATGGATAAATTGGATTCTAAAAGTTGTTTTATGAGGCAAGTTATTTGGAACTTGGGATGTGTTTTATCAGGGTATGTTTCAAGGAACAAGGTGTGTAAAGTCGGAAATCAAAGTAGTCATGTGGGAAATTAAAGACATAATTTTTACTGCTTTGGGGGTCTTCAGACTGGCTCTTGGCTTAATTGTAATACAGAGTATCTACTTTGACATCTGTCCATTTCCCTGCGCGGGCATCTTTTTCTTTCTATGCACGCTTTGCCTAATTCTGACCTGAGTCTCCCTTGGCTTGCCCTACCTTAAAGTAGGGTAATTCCATGCTCACCTTCTCAATCCCTCTACCCTCCCTCATGCACTGTCAGTCATAAGGGTGATGGCCCCTGTTTGTGGTTCACAAATCATTCTATAAATTTTCCAGATTTCTCTCTGTGGAACTGGTGAATAAGAATTAGTAAGCCAATAAAGCCATTTTTTTTAAATAGCAGGACTCTTGAATGATTAATTAGAGACCAACAGGACAATATATTAATCAGAGTATTTTGTCATCTCACTTTTCATTTTCTAGAATCCTCAAGATGGTTTTAGCCGCCTGAAACGCTGGATTATGATTGGTGATCATCACCAGTTACCTCCAGTCATTAAGAATATGGCCTTTCAGAAGTATTCAAACATGGAGCAGTCTCTCTTCACTCGCTTTGTCCGGGTTGGAGTTCCTACTGTGGACCTTGATGCTCAAGGGAGAGCCAGAGCAAGGTAAAGGAGCCTTAAGAACTACCTATTTAAGGACCCCAGCTCCGTGATCCAGCTATTTGGTAGCATGTTCAGTAGCAAGTGTAGAATTCCCTGTTGTCTAGGAACCTGCCATCTACAAATCTGGAAGTGCCTATATTGCCTTCGGCATGGGGTGTGAACTGACCGAGATATTTCCTGTACTTCATTCACTGAGATTAATTGATGTGACTTGTAAACTAAAGCGTCTTTTCACTGTCCCTTGCCCTTTCTTCATGCCCCCAGAAGATATATAGTTAATATCATTTTGAAATCTAAAACAAAAGGTGAACAAGAAGAAAACACACCAGTTCTTACTTATATTAAGTGTACAGGCCCTATCTCATAATTACCTCAAAGTATACCTCAATTTACAGACTCTCCCCTGTTTTTTGTTTTTTTTTTATTTAAGGAATAAAGATAGCATTTATCTCAGAGAACACAATAGAGCTTCATTTCTATAATCATCAAGTCTTCTGACCTTTGGTTACTTGAAGCAGGGAGGCAAGTTGAAAAAGCATTATTGCTAAAAAAATGAGTGCAAAATGGTGAACATGAAAATTAAAAGGAAGAGCACAGCTCCTTAGGAACCCAAATTTTGCATCACTAATATTTCCTGTTTGTGGGGGCGGGGTTTGTCTTTGGAAAGCTTATGTAACCTCTACAACTGGCGATACAAGAATCTGGGAAACCTACCTCATGTGCAGCTCTTGCCAGAGTTTAGTACAGCAAATGCTGGCTTGCTTTATGACTTCCAGCTCATCAATGTGGAAGATTTTCAAGGAGTGGGAGAGTCTGAACCTAATCCTTATTTTTATCAGGTGAGAAAAAACGTGAAACTTTTAAGTTTATTTTGCATTAACTAGCTGAATTACTACCTAAATCAGTGACATTGAACCATTTGGCTAGCCATTGAAAAAACAAAATTAAGTTCCCACCTCACACACAACACAAAAATCTCTGTTTCAAATAGATTCAAGATATGTACACCAAAGAAAAGAAACTGTAAACACACTAGAAAGAAGAAAATCCTGATATAATATATAATATATACACATATATTATATATATATTTATAATAACATTAGGATGAGAAAGGTCTTAAGCTCATTACCAAAGGCAGAAATCATAAAAATATTGATTGGAGACCAAAATTTATTTCCAAGATTTAACAGACAGTGGGTTGAATTCTGAATATATATATGTACGGAACTCCTATAAATCACTTTTTAAAATACACCCCAACAGAAAAATGCAATAAAGATAAAAATGTGCAATTCACAAAAAAAGATTTGTAGCAAGTATAAGTCACTGGACTGTATTTTCACCTCTAATAATACTCAGTGTGGAGTAGGTTTAGGGAAATTTTATACTCATGCAATGCTAGAAGGAAAACAATTTGGTGAACAGATTGTCAGTATGTATTAAAAGCAGTGTCCTCACTCTGAAGAATTTATCCTAAAAAATAAATGGACAAGTTTGCAAAGGCTTATATGCTAAAATGTCCATCAGATCTTTTTCTTTTACTGCATATTATTTTAGAAATGAGAAGCAACCAAAGTATCTATCAGTAGGGATTAATTACACTATTACCTATTCTATATAATGAATAGGCACTAAGTATGATAACATTGTAACTTTGTTTACTGACAAGGAAAATGTTTATGCTATATTAAATGAAAAAAACTAGGTTGTAAAATATATTGTATAGCGTTCTATTTTTTTTTTTAAAGATTTATTTATTTGAGAGAGAGAGTGGGGGTGGGGAGTGCGGGCTGCAGAGGGAGAGGGGGAGAATGTAAATGATTTTTCTGAAGGTGTTCGAGAATTTTACTTTTGTCTTTACATGAAAACCAGCTTCTTGTCTTCCTTTTTTGATTTTCATGTTATGTTATCAGTTAACCTAGGATAGGATTATTCCTTAGTTTTATGGAAGGTGTTCACTTGTCCAAGTTGACTTCACTTCTTGAGGTGTGATAAATGAACACTTGTGCCAGTTATAACCATTCTTTCTGCAGAATTGAAGCAAAAGGAAATAAATGCATAACTGATCATTTCTACATTACAGAATCTTGGAGAAGCAGAATATGTAGTGGCACTTTTTATGTACATGTGTTTACTTGGTTACCCTGCTGATAAGATTAGTATTCTAACAACATATAATGGGCAAAAGCATCTTATTCGTGACATCATCAATAGACGATGTGGAAGCAATCCATTGATTGGAAGACCAAATAAGGTAATTTTGTGAATATCATATGTTCTCTTATTCATCATGTTGGCAGGATGGGAAAATTTATATTTATTATGAGTTATTTATATTATTCTACTTTGTCTCTTTGCTATCTCCTTTGAAGACATAAGGAAATGAAATAATATGAACTATAAATAATTCTCTAGCAGTCCTATCAGTGTTATTGGTTTGCTGTGACTTCTGTCTCAACTACCACATTGAAGATTTTTGTTGATGGTAATCAGAAATAAATGATCCTAAAACTTTTTGTTGGTAAAATGGAGGATAATGAAATTACATTACTTATGTACTATTATAGTAGAAATAGGATTGTAGCATTTTTTTATTTTGTCATTTTTGCAAAGGTATAATTTGTACTGCTTTTTATTGTATGTGTGTGGGAGAGGGTTTTTTCTTGAGAATAAGGAAAGATTGTAGTACCTTCAGACCTGAGGATTATTTTTTTTATGCTTTTTTAAATTTTTTGTGTGGTATAGAGTAATATCAAATAAGACACTTGATTATATCAATAAAAGGCTGAAAGGTTAGAATAAAAAATATATTACTAATGATGAAATTAAGGCTTTAGTTGTAAACATGGAAGCTCTTTCACTTTTTCTTGGAAATCATCCAAGAGTAACAGGAAAATGGGAGGAGGGAAAGACAAATGACATTTTTAGTGAGGTGACACAAATCAGGGGACTAAGATCAGGAAGAAAATGTGGGAAGAAGAGAATTTAGAGGACCAGTCTTGAAAGTACCAGCAAAAACACTTTCTGAAGGTGAATGGCACACTCTGAAGCATAAGAGCCACGTTCCTGTTACTGAACAGTGGATGTGGAAATTGGGGTGAGCAGAAGCCTTCCTGGTCCCAGATTGGTTCAAAGAAGCCTCCATGTGAGCCATGCTCGCCCAAAAGCAGACTTGTCTCTACAGTAGCAGAGGAAAAGAGAACCTTCTGTTGTGAAAACCACCCAGCCTTTAGGAAACCATCCAGCTCATCCCAGCTTAACCTCTGGCACGTAGCTAATCTAAGAAACCACATATTCAGTGATGAAATAGTGAGAAAAAGGAACCTAGCACGAGCTCGATTTATACAGGGAAAAAAAGGAGGGCAGCAAAACGTACCGACAAGACATTTGCTTCAAAAACATGTTGGCCCGGAACAGATTGAAAACTTTGAATACACATTTGGCTGTGAATTTCAAAATGCTTAATGAAGTAACCATTTCTGTGGAGAAGGCTACAAAGCAGAGAAATTTAATAACTCAGGAAGAGATGAAATGTGAGCTGGAAGAAAATAAAAGCACAGAAATGGAGACAAAGTTGAAAGGAGTACAAGGACACACTGAACACTCCATGTAGAAAGTGAAAATAAGAAACGAGTAACTTTGAAATATAGAAAGCTTAGAAGTAGAAGAACCTCAATATCTGAGTCCTTTAATTTATAACAGAAAAACTTAAGTAATAAAGGAAAGTTCTCTCTCTCATAACAAGAAGACAAAAGTGAAATGGCTCCAGGGCTGAGTTACAGAGTGACTCCATGATGTCATCAAAGACCAAGGTTCATTTCATCCTTTTGCTCTGCCATTCTGAGTGTGTGAGTCCAGTTCTCAGATAAGCTTTCTACATGGTCAGGTTGGCAACAGAAATTTCCAGGGATTATATCCACACGTAAGAGCAAAACACTTAAATCCAAAATATAAGAACTCCTATCTATAACAGTCATTGTTAAATAAACACAGCCCGATACAAAATTGGCGAACGAATAGTCGCTTTACACAAGAAGACATAGGAATGGCCAATAAGCACATGCAAAGTGCTTACCATCATTCCTTGTCAGGGGAATGCAGATTAAAACTACAGTGAGGTACACTGCACACCAAATAGATTGGCTAAAATTGGCAAAATTGACAGTGTACCAGTTGTTGGCAAGGATGTGGAGCAACTGGAACTCAATCTAGAACAGTGCTGGTGAATGTGTAGAGTGGTACAGCACCTTTGGAAAACAGTTTGACAGTTTCTCATGAAGTTAAACATACACTTACCATACAGCTAAGCAATTTCACTTATACTCATTCAAGAACAGTGAAAATATATGTCCACAAAAATATTTATGCATGAATTACGGCTTTATTCAAGATAGCCTCAAACCAAATGCAAACTGCTACAGCCACTGGAAAACAGTATGGTGGTTCCTCAGAAACTTAAAAATAGATCTGCCCTATGATCCAGCAATTGCACTACTGGTATTTACCCAAAGAATACAAAAACACTAGTTCAAAGGGGTACACGCACCCCTATGTTTATAGCAGCATTATTTACAATAGCCAAATTATGAAGCAGCCCAAGTGTCCATCGATTGATAAATGAATAAAGAAGATGTGAGATATGTGTGTGTTTTATACACACACACACAATGGAATATCATTCAGACATTTAAAATTCTGCCATTTGCAACAACATGGATGGAGCTAGAGAGTATAATGCTATAAGCAAAATAAGTCAGAGAAAGACAAATGCCATATGATTTAACTGATATGGAATTTCAGAAACAAAACATATGAGCAAAGGGGGGGGAACAAATCAAGAAACACTCAATTATAGAGAACAGTCTCTATGGGGAGGAGGATGGTACGTTGGGTGAAGTAGGGGATGGGGAGTAAGGAGTGCACTTGCCATGACAAGCACCAGGTGATGTGTAGAATTGTTGAATCAGTATACTGTACACCTGAAACTAAAATAACGCTGTATGTTAACTACACTGGAATCAAAATTTAAAACAAAACAAAAAAGCCCCAAACCAGAAACAACGCAAATGACATGAACAGGTAAATGGGTAAACAAATGTGGTGTATCTATTCATCGGAATACTATTCAACAGTCAAAAGGTATGAACTTCTAATAGACACAACACATGGATGAATCTCAAAAACATGCCAACTCAAAGAAGCCAAAAAAAAAAAAAACTTTATGATTCCGTTTTTAAGGAATTTTAGACAGGCAAAAAGTAATCTATAGTGACAGAAAGCAGATCAGTGTTTGCCCAGGGCTTGGGGATACAGTTTTGACTACAGAGGGGCCTGAAATAATGGAAATCTTCATTGTGGTGCTTATCTAGGAGCATATATTGTCAAAATTTATCAAAGTAGACACTTCAAGTTTGGAGTGCATTTTGTTATATGTGAATTATACTTCTGTGAAGTTGATTAAAAAGAAATGTTTTGTAAAATTCCTAAAGGTATGGACCATGAATTATAGCTTATGCACATAAGCACTTAAACTTTTTTTGTTGAATTAGTGAAAAAGTGATAAATGCCTGAGTGTCAATATCAGATTGACACCTGCATGAACTTTCCTAGTTACATAGTTTCAAACTGAACAAAAAGTACTATGAAAATTACTTGTTTATTTTTTGTGTGTCAGAAGGATGCTATCCATGAGAACTAAGAATATGTTAAATAATAAGTGAGCATACTAAGTTATACTGCTGGACATCAAATGGGGATACCAGGTAATAAGATTAACAGGTCCCTGCATCCAGGGAGTTGGGCAGTCTAGTAGGGGAAGACTGTTAATTCTATGGATAGTAATTCGGTTGTCAGCAGAGGTAAAGATCAGTGCTGTAAGCGTAGTAACATAGGGACGTGGCCTAATCTGGTTACTAAGGTTTATTTCATAGTGTTCATTAACTGGTTTTCTCAATTCCAAGTATATGATCATGTTTTCTTTTTGGATTGATTATCTTAATGATAAGATTTTTATTTCTAGCATATTATTTAAATTATCTCTCTAGAGTCTTATTATTGTGCTTTGAAAATATACCGTATCTCCCATTTTTTCTTCCTAGGTGACAACTGTTGACAGATTTCAAGGTCAACAGAATGATTATATTCTTCTTTCTCTAGTACGAACCAGGGCAGTGGGCCATCTGAGGTACATAAGGAAAACTTTTTTATATTATTGAAATTTATTATCTGCTTCAATTTTGAACTGCTTTGGCTAAGTGGTTTTAAATTTTTTTAAGCTTAAAGCATAATTAATTGTTACAGCAGCATTTGGTTTGGCAAGCTTCTTGTTAGAGTATAACAATATCATATTCTTTGTGAGTTAACTATTGTCATTGCTTCTGAATTTTTTGAATCTTAAATATTTTAGTACATTTACTTTTTAGTCTTCAGTAACACTCAGAGATAGCATTTTATTATGAAATCTTAATATCTTACATTTGTCAGAAACAGTATCAGAAATTAAAAGAGGTAAGGTGGTAAAAAGTCTTCAGAGTACATTTTTCATTGCACAGGATTTCTGACTTTTTTTCTCACACAGTCTTTCAGCTTCACTGTTAGAGGATAAAGGAACCATTTGTTCTCCCAGGATTAAGAACTGTCAAAACAAACAATAACCTATTTTTATCATTTATTGTGATGTATTTATGTGCTAGAGATTTATGGGAATAATATCTTCTTATTACAAAGCAGCCGTTTAGTTTTATATAAACCTTCATCTCGTATGACTTACTAACAAAACTATAATGAGAGTTCATTTTATTATTTTATTTGGTGGATATAAAGAGAAAAGTCTCCAAGCTCTCATAATGTTGTCATTAAGTCAAAATCTATTTGGAGCTTAGCCCAGTGATCAAGTTCCATTAGAATGATAACTTTTATGTAAGAGTAAACAAAGATGTAATGTTTTGAGAAATTGTTTCAAAACTATTGCATTCTAAAATAGCTTATTTTTGCTTATCAAACATGTATTTGGAGACGAACTTTTCTAAAAAGCAGTTCCTTTTCTGGAAGCATTGAGATGTATAGCTGCTGTCTGAATGGGGCATCATTATGATTTACATAATTAAAATCTCCAAAACTCACAGTATGAATACATGAATAATGCCTCATCCCCTCCCCATCTTTTTTCTTAACTGTGTCATGCTTTTGTCTTTTTCACATTCTTATGACTTGACTTCTTGTTCCATAATTCTAATGTAGCTACTTAGACCTTTTTATCAGTGCATTAGTCATGATTTCCCCCACTCACAAAAACAAAAACATCAACATAGAGGTTAGTGATAAAGTAGTAACTTTATTTGGTTTAACTAGTCACTTGATATTGATTAATCTGTTTATTCTGTTCAGTTTTTAAGAAGCTTAACTTTTTATTGCCATAACTTAACAGGAATATTTAGTAGAATAAGTAAAAAAAAAAGAAGAAGAAAAGCTGCATGCATATGTTATTAATCTTGAACTATGCTAATTAATTTTGTTTCCCAAAGGGATGTCCGTCGCTTAGTGGTGGCCATGTCTAGAGCCAGACTTGGACTGTATATCTTCGCAAGAGTATCCCTCTTCCAAAACTGTTTTGAACTAACTCCAGCTTTCAGCCAGCTTACTGCCCGTCCACTTCATTTGCATATAATTCCGACAGAACCTTTCCCAACCAGTAGAAAGGTAGGACTCTTTCTTCATCGTATAGAGCAGCACTCTCCTATAGATGACCACAGTAGCTAGGAACCAGCATCACATAGATCATCCGATCACTGGTTTAGGGTGCTCCTTACACTGTGGAACTGAATTCGATTTTCTGTGGAAAATAATAATACATGCTAACATTTATCAAGCACTCACTAGTATCAGGCAATTAGCTCTTCCCATACATTATCTCGTTTCATCTAAGAGTCCTGTTGAGTAGGTTTTCTTATTAACCCCATTTTATGTATGGGGAAACAGGATTAGCAAAGTTAAGTAGTTTGGTCATGCATCTCATAGATGGAGAATCCCAAGATTTGAAAACCCAGGCAGTGTGACTCCAGAATCCATGTTAATGACTGTACTTTACTGCCTCTGTTCAGCTCTTTAATTGATAACAGAGTAATAATGGAGGCACATGGAGATCAGGCAGTGCCAACGAGCAGAAGGCTTGAAAACCAGTGCTTTCCCCGACACCCAGGGGGCTAAGCACTAAGAGCGTCTCTCCATCTTCCACTCAAGAGACCAGTGTTGGAGGCCAAGAGGGCTGCACGGCTAGCACTACATCTCAGAAGAGGCAGCTCCTAGCGGAGCCACCAGAAAAGAAGCAAACAAATAAACACAAACAAACACAAAACCTTCCATGTTGTGAAGGCCGTGTTTTGTAGTTGTAACGGCATGGCAGTCTTTGCACATCGTGTGACCCTTGCAGAAAGTGCCCACTATCAAAAGAACACCTGCCTACATGTAATACTGCCATCCTGCTTAATTCTGAGAAATAACTATTTAATACACTTAATTATTTCTGACATTCTGTGCGCTAATTTGTTACTTTATGGTAAAAATCCTTTGTCTTGATAGAAGTTTTTTACCTTTATGGTTTTCGGAACTGCATCTACAGTAAGAAAGGGTGAGACTTTATAAACGTTTTATAATCGATTATAAATAGGAAACTTGTTCATCTTTATTCTAGGATGGTTTAGGGGGAAGTGCAAATTTTTTATTGTCTTCATTCACTTTACCACTTTACCTGCACTGGTAGAGCAGTGTTTCTCAGATGGTTGTCAGAAACTCCTGCGGCAGCATCCCCTCATTCTCTGTCAGACCTACTGAATCTCCGTCTCCGGGAGCTGGAGCCAACACACCTCCACAATTAACAGTCTTCCCTAGAGAGTTCTGAAACATACCACAAAGTTTGGACTTTAGTATGTGATCATGCACTTTATTAGTAAAAAAACCTTTTGAGTATTCAGCCTCATGACAGTCTATATATTAAATAACAGTAATGTTAGCTTATTTTTAGAAAAACATAAATAGGAAAAATAGTTTCAATATTTTCTTTCTGAATAAACTTGAAAATTGCCTTTGGAACATACAAGGTATTAGAGACCGTACTTTAGGCCATGTTGATTTTTCTCTCGGTTCAAATGATCCTGTAGTTCTCACTCTTCCACATGGGTTCCTAGACCCAAACTCCTGTTTCACTTGCCAGCCTGAAATTAAAAGGTAGTAACTCGTAGTTCCCTTCTAGTCTCTACCTTTTGCTAAATTTAAATTGAATCTCTTCTCTTCATGAAGTCATTATTGGGCTCTCACATACACTTACATCTTAATGTCCTGGTACTATTCTGATGTCCTCCAAACCCTAGTAGTGCTTTTACATAAGATGGAGACATGGGCATCTGGAATGTTCACTTCTAGCATAACAACCTTCTCACTGTCCTTAACTTTCTCTTTGCCTTCTAGAATGGAGAGCGACCATCTCATGAAGTACAGATAATAAAGAACATGCCCCAGATGGCAAACTTTGTATACAACATGTACATGCATTTGATACAGACCACACATCATTATCATCAGGTGAGTTTTCTCAAAATTCACTCTTATTTTTCTTGTAGAAAGAATCTTCTTTGCAGACTACACCTTTAAAGTACTCAATTCCTTGTGGGAAACCAGCTAAACCAAACAAGGTTGTTGTTATTCATGTAATATCCATATTTTTTAAACACCTTTATGTAGATATAATTTGGCCTATGATAAATTCCACATATTTAAAGCATATAATTTAATATGTTCTGATATATGTAAATACCTGTGAAACCATCATCACAATCAAGATAATGAACATACTCATTATCTCCAAAAGTTTCCTCGTGCCCCTTGGTAACCCTTCTCATCCTTCACCAGTCCCTTTCCCACCTTCTCCAGGCAAACAAGGATCTTACCCTCAACTTGTAGCCCCTTTTTATTGCCAAATAATATTCCACTGTAGGGACCTACCAGGTGTACCCATTGACCTGTTGATGGACATTTGGGTTCTTTCCAACTTTGGCTATTACAGAGGAAGCTGCTGTGAACATTCTTGTACCAGTCTTTGTATTTGGCGGGGGGTGGGGGGAGTCCCTAGGAGTAGAATGGCTGAAAAACAGAGTAAATGTGTTCAACTTCTTAAGAAACCGCCCACCCATTTTGCGAAGTAGCTGCATCAGATTCCCAGCAGCAGCGAATGAGAGCTGTCGTTGCACCCCACCCTCACCCACACTTGTTATGGCCTTTTTTATTTTAGCCATTCTAAAGGGGAGGCTAAGCATGTAGAGCTGCTCCAGTGTTCTGGTTGAGTGCAGACAGAAGCTTCGTGCCCTGCTGCCCCCTCTCTGCCATGGTTTTGTCTGAAGGCTTGGTTCCTCCCCACCCCTCACATGGCTCCTTGACTGAGGCTGGCCCTTTCTTCAATTGTGTCAGTCACTTCTAATCAGCCACTGTTTTTGTAGAAGTGTTACAGCAAATTTCTTTGCTAAAAAAGCTAATCGGTTTTCATATTATTTTCTTCTCTGAAGATTTAATACATACTTTGATCTCTGGAGTCAGCAAGATCTAGGCCATTGCCATCAGAGTTTTGTTTGTAATACACAATGGCCAGCAGTGTTTTAGAGAACCCTCGATTGAACAGTATCTATTAGTAAGATAATATGAGAGCTTAGCTTTGTAAGCCAGTGTTTTTTTCATTTGAGTTCCTATTGATGTCTTCTTTTTCTCATTAGACTTTATTACAGCTACCACCTGCTATGGTAGAAGAAGGTGAGGAAGTTCAAAGTCAGGAAACAGAGTTGGAAACAGAAGAAGAGGCCAATCCTGCTCAGACTGACCTATCCAGTCTGACAGATGCCACCTCTAGTCAAGAATCCTCAGCCTCTCAGATTGAGACCACCTGCAGTCAGACGGAGAGCACCCCCAGTCAGACAGGAGCTAGTTCCAGTCCAGAAGCCACCCCTGCTGCATCTGATCTCAGTGCTACTGTGGCAGGACCTGTAGCTGTTCCAGCAGAGGCTCAGGTCCCTCAAGATGTCACACTGGCCCCAGAGGAGACCAAGTAGCCCAACTGTGGCCTTTCTTAGGACATTTCCTTCATAAAGTCTAAGTAAAGCTACTTTTTGTATTTTATATTTGCTTCTGCTTTTTTAGGGTACTAATCAGTGTTCAGTTCTTAATTTTGTTAACCGATCTCAGTGTTTGTCTTCTTGGATATATTTAAAAGAAAATTGTATTGTGTGTGAACTGAAAACTTCAGTTTCATTTATTCAGTCAGAAGGGCAAATAGCCATTCCTTTGATATTTTTATAATTGAATGTATCTGTAATCATACCTATATTAAAAGAATTTTTTTTAAAGATTTTATTTATTTATTTGAGAGAGAGAATGAGATAGAGAGCATGAGAGGGGGGAGGGTCAGAGGGAGAAGCAGACTCCCTGCTGAGCAGGGAGCCCGATGCGGGACTCGATCCCGGGACTCCAGGATCATGACCTGAGCTGAAGGCAGTCGCTTAACCAACTGAGCCACCCAGGCACCCAGAAGAATTTTCTATAGAATACACAAGACATACTTTCCATTTTCAGTGAACTTCTCTAAAGAAAAGGACAGAATACACCGAAATTAACTATAGTTGTTAACTACAATTATAATTAACAACTAGAAGTTGTTTCTTCTCTCATAGTATCAGATACTCAAGTTGTGTTTCCTTTTTTCCTACCTTTCTTGGCTGCCTTCCTTGATGTAAAGGCATTAACAGTCATAGATAGATACAGATTTCTCCAATCAGTTGAAGAGACTACATGTATTTCCTTCCTCAAAGTCTCATAATGTATTAGAATCACCTAGGATGTCTTATTTATTCTTGGGGCCACTCTAGACCTAATGAATCAGAATCTCAGGGTTAGGGCCCAGGTATCTGTATTTTAGCAGGTGCTCCTAATGTTTGAGTCGCTAGCAGAATGGCATCAAATCAAGCTGGTAAGGCTGAGCCAGGATATGTCATTCAGCTAAGCAGGAAGAAGCTGGCAAATCCATCTGGGCAAGAAGAAAGATCCAGAATCCAGACAGTGAAAGTTAGTGAACTTAGCTCCCCCATATAGGATAGAATTCTCACAATGCAGAGGTTCTGAGTCTTCTGCTATGTTTAGTTCTCTTGATAGAGAACCAGCCACAAGGACACCTTAAGGTAGAATGTACTCGAGATTCGGGAGGGCAGAGATGCTAGGACCTTGCTAATCAAGTGTGGTTTGCAAACCGGAAGGATCAGCATCCACTGAAGCTCGTTAAAACTGTAGCAGTTTGCACTCTCTCCTAGATCTATTAAATCTGAATCTCCTTTTCAGCAAAGTGCACAGGTGATTTATATGTACTGTGTAGTTTGAGAAACATTGTTCTCAGATTGTTGTACTGTCCTCAACGTGAATGAGAGAGTGACGAGTCTGTGATGGTAAAGTTAGTAGTGAGTGTGACCGATGTTTCCTGACATGGGACCTCTGCTTATAAAGCTTCCTGGGCATGGTGGCCAGAAAAGAGAGGAAGAAGGTAGGAGGAACTTGCCCACTACTTCTCTTCCCCATTTCGGCATCTGCTAGCATGGCTGATGGGGAGTATTTCCCCAAAGTATCCCCTCTAGTGCCTCCACCTAAAGGCTTGACAGCGTTCAGAGAACCTTTGAAAAAGTAGGCAAGAACTGCACACTGCCACTGACATGCTTCTGATCCTCATATTTTGAAGGAATGAGTTCATAAGGAGATGAAACCAAGAAAGTCAAGTCAATGATATTTTTGACTGACTAGTGTTTGCTCAGCTCTACCAGGTTGTGGTGGAGATGAGTCAGGCTCTCCTATTACAAGGTGTGTTACTACATCTGAACATAAGAAAAGGAAAGTGAATGCCAAGGAAACTGTACTGGGAAACCTTGGTCTGTTACTGGAGTAAGGATTGAGCCAGATAGTTACTGGAGTAAGGATTGAGCCAGATAGTCTGTTATATAATTTCTCTGTTGATAAGAATTTGGAAGCAGATGTTGTGGGCGTCTGTATGAGGAATAGCACTCAAAGGATTACTTTCATCTGTGAATATTCTAGTATCAGGCTAATCAAGAGGGAAAGAAGCTTTACTGTATTACTGTGTTTCCTGGAAAAGATTGATTTTTTTCTCTACCCTTTAGAGGATATGAATCATGATACCTGCAACCAAAATAAGTGAACTATTACTCTGCTTTCTCATTAAGTAAATCATTTTCCAGACACTGTGTATCACTCTGTCTAGGTAGTGACTTGCTTTTTTCTTTGCTGTTTGATTTTCTGTCACGCTAAAAAGAAAATTTAACTGGAAGACAGGTGGGTCCTTCGCTTTTGTCAAAGAAATTTTAAAAGGGACAATAATGGTGGGATTTGAATTATTTTAAATTGTTTTTTCACAGGAATGGTCAGTGAGTTATGGTTTACTATAGAATTATGGAATTTTTAAAGGAACTTAAGAAATCGATTCTTATTTTAAATAATGAGGAAACTGAGTCAGTCTTAACCAGGGTGGCAGCTGTGGAAGACGGGGTAGAATGCAAGTCTACAGTCCTAGGACAGTGTTTTGTTTAGTGTTTTTTTTTCAATCAAGGCCACAAGCATGACTGCTTCACAAATTCAAGAGTTTTCTATTGGGATTACAACAGACACAGGTACTCCGGGCATGTGACCATTTCAGATTAGTGTTCTCATTGCCCTCCATCCTGTTTTTCAGATCTGAATATGTCATGATTTTGGAATCTATTTTTAAAAGCAAACCAAAAAGATGTATGCAAGAGAATGAGCATGAAATGAAGCAATTCAAGTATTTAGACTTTTTTCCACAAAATGCTGAGTTAAGGAAGTTCATTACCAACAGTTGAGAATAAATAGCTCCATTGATTTGGGCAAATGAATGAGATGATCTAAACATTATCAGGTCTCTTGAAGTTAGGGTGATGATAAAAATTTAGATGTTGCACTAGATACAGAGAAAAATGGCATAAATGGGTCATTCATGCTCCTATATAAATGGAGTTTTTTATGATCAGGAAACAGCGTGCTATTGTAAAACTGACTTTGGACTCACACAGACCTCGCTCAAATTTTACCTCATTTGCTCATCAGCATTTGGTTTGACCTTAGGTACGTTTTATAACCTTTCTAAGCCCCAGTTTTCTTTCTTCTCAAAATTGGAAAAAGGCCTCATTTGTTAATGAGGAATGTTTGTGAAAATATCTGGCACCTAGCTGCTCAGTAGATACTAGTCCTTCTCTCTCCGTTTTTTTTCCCAAATCCTTGAGATAATATAGGATATTGCCAACCAATCCTCTGACTTGGGTACTTAGCTTTACCCCTATTCCGAGAGCATGGAAGATGATGAAGAAGGGGACACGTGGCAGCAGATGACAATGGAGGATCAAGGATCAAGTCTACTGATTGGGACTCTGAATCAGTCGATCACAGTATTGAGGATGGTCTCTGCTGAAATTAAAATTTTGACAGAACAGGATAACCAAAGGGAAGACACTGGGTACCATACGCGTCTGATGACTTCCGTCAGTTCTGAATCCTGCACTCCCCCAACCCCAAATCATTTCATTATTGCATTTAGTTAGCTCTGTGCCTTTGAATGGGCTTTTTCCTTTTTATCTTGCAGTCACTCGAATGACATTTTAGAGATGTTTCTTCAGTTAACATATTAAAAAGATTTTTTAAAAGTCTGACCCTTTTGCATGAGCCAGAAGAGCAGTTAAAGACAAGCAGTGCCTTGCTTCCTGTGAAAAAGGCTTGGCCGTTAGCCTTTGTAATTATGAAGCAATCATGTTAATAGATGTTTAAGAATAATGCAACTGGAGCTGTACTGTGCCAAGGATGGAAATGAACACGTGAGACCATTTTTTCTTCATCCATTGGTACTCTTTAGTGCCCGAGAAAGGGTTTTAATTCCATAGGATCCAGAAGTTTTGGACACTTTAGTTTTTCTTCCTAGGGACAAATTGGAGCTTAGTCCCCTGGAGCATGACTCAGAATGTAGCATGGTTACTGCTGACGGACACTGTGCCACCTTTATTCAGTTAGTTTGGCTTATACTTCTTTCAGTGGCTGCTCAAACTTCTACCCTTACATGCAAGGGTAGCTAATCCATTACTTCTCAACATACATAAGAAGAAAACACTAGTCTTGAAAAATCCTGAGAAACATGCTCCATGGTCTAATAAGCTCGGAGACACAATGAATTATTACCTTTTTTTGCAGAATCACATTGCATTGTTAGTTAATTAAAGGTTCTGAGAACTCTTGCTGGAAAAAAAATCACATTTAACTTTGTTTAACCCAGCATTTCCCAAACTTATTTGACCATAGAACTTTTTTAAAAGACACATTAGGGAACTAACTGCAGAACACAGTAGTTTGGGAACCAATATCTTTACTGGAGTACTTGAACTTTGATTTTCCCTTAGAAAACTAAGGGCATTATAATATACCACCCCAAAATATGCCACTTTGGCATAAGGATTATTTTGACCTAAAGGCAACTGAGAAGCAGCAGATGTAGGAATAACTCGCGTCTGCTTCTGCCAAAAATCAGGGCATCAATGTCCCTTTGTAAAAGTGACCAATTTTCATTTGTAAAGGTGTCTCCTCTCTTCTGTACTAGGAAGAGGAAAATAACGCTTATTACTAGAAACAGATGGCACTGAGATGAGTCTGCACAAATAAACCTTACTAAAATAACCCTTATTCTCCATTAGTTTGCCCATATATTTACTTTCCCCCAATTTGCCACCTCTAAAAGCCCAAGCCCCCTTTTTGTTTGCCTATTTGGTTCACAATTTATCACTCTTTGTTAAAACAGTATATAAGCCTCTAAGCCGAACAACTTCTTTTGGGTTTTTACTTTTTCATGTACCCCCCATGGAAGTAAAGTTTAAAATATCAATTAAATTTGTATGCTTCTCCTGTTAACCTGTCTTTTGTCCATTTAACTCACAGGCCCCAGTCACCAACCCTAAAAAGGTAGAGGTAAAGTTTTTCCTCCCCTACACACACACACACAAACTCTTAATTTTTTTTTTCTTCTAATTAACCAGAGGCTGAAGTAACACAGGTGAAGAAGAAACTAGAGGTGAAGTGATTTGTACAAAATGTCACATTGTAGTGTAATTTGTTGAGTGTCATATGGTATTAGCAACGTCCTGAAAATGCAAATGAATAAAAGTTTGATCAATGTACCATGACATTCTTTCATGTGAGCCTCCTAAGAAAAGGTCACTGAGCATGATTAGTTTGGGTTTTGAGCTCTATAGAAATGGAATCATACAGAATGTGCTTTTTTTGTGTCTGCCCTCTCAAA